AAGACTTGTTTAATTGTGTAATAACTCTGTTTTGATTAGATTGAGTCTGTAATATTAGAGTTTGAGATAGCTGGTACTTAGTCTGCACTTTAGAAGCCTCAAAAGCTCAATTTTATCAAAGAGGCTCGGCTTTAATCGATTAAATAGTGAAATAATCGATTAAAACAGTGAGAAAAACCATTTTCTGTATCTGCTCACTAGTTTAATCGATTAACACACATGTTAATCGATTAACAGGTCTGTTACTCGATTAAAATAGAGAGTTTTGGGGTTCTGTTGATTTTGGCTCTGTAATAATCGATTAACACTTCATTTAATCGATTATTTCAGTTAGATTTTGATTTTAAACTTCAAATTAACCCTAGTTTCGAAAACCCTAATCCCAATACTCTCTAGTTCCGAAATTCCCAAACCCTAATTTCTCTACTTAAGCTTCTCTATGGCACTCAGAAAATAAGAACAACCTTTTTCATACAAAAGTTAAGTGTTGTGAGTGCCAGAGAACTGTTTGTTGCAAGAAAAAGGGGTTTTTGGAACCTGGTGTGGGCTAGAAGCGATAAGAATCACTAAGTGGAGTTCTTAGTGGATTGTGTGTTGTGCCGTCTCTAGGAAAAGTTGTTCTTCATCTCTTGTGGATTTCAAGAGAGGTGTTTTCTTTACTTTATCTTTTCCATTGTAAATTGTTTGTAACAACTTTCATTATAGTGACATCGTTAATCCTCTGTTTGAGTGATTAGCAACTGGACGTAGGGTCTTTTGATCTGAACCAGTATAAATCTCCTGTGTAAGATTATATCTCTACTCTATTTACATTTACACATTTTTCAATCGGTAAAATTTGGGGAAAATTTTGAAAACCTAATTTTTATTAAGAAACCAATTCACCCACCCCCCTCTTGGTTTTTGTCCGACCACGTGAACATTCCGCTGCGCGATTCTAACAAACTCTATGTTCTACAAAGAGAAAACTAAGAGATTTCATGATAGCTCCATAGCTTGGAAGGAGTTCTTTGTTGGTCAGCAAGTACTATTGTACAATACCAGATTGGGTCTCATGGGTGGTAAGTTGCGTTCAAAGTGGATTGGACCTTTTATTGTTACTAATGTTTATCCTTATGGTGCAATTGAAATTAAAAGTGAATCCACAGAAAAGAGCTTCAAGGTTAATGGCCATCGACTGAAACCATTCCTCAACAATCCTTCTCTAGTGGATGTAGTTGTGGAGGAGATATCCCTGATTGATCCCACTTACCTTCCACCATGACTTAGGGAGTTCTCTTTTTCCTTCTCTTTACTTTTATTGCACTTGTCCAATTGGTGATTTGACTGCTTGACTTGATGTTATGCTACATTGGGACAATTTGTAGTTTAAGTGTGGGGGAGACTGTTCTTTGTTTTCTTTGTTTAGGATTTTTAGTTTTCTTTGTATTTCAGGTTCGTGTTTTGTGTACAGTTTGCATGTTTCTTTTGGATCTCTGGGTTTTGTTTAGGTTTTGGGCACTTTCTTTACTCTTGGGATAGGAGTTTCTTTATGCTTTTTGGATTGAAATCCCTGTTTTTCTCTGCTTGTCAAGTTGGTTACGATGTTTGAGAGGTTGAATTGAAGGCGACAATCTTACCCTTTGTGAGGAATTGAGCCACTACCTGTTCTTTCTTGAGTGTTATGCCTCTTGATTGCTTGCGCAGTAGCCTTGGCTTGACTCTGATTGATACTTCTTGATTCACATGCATGTTTGGAGATGATTAAAGCATTTTTGTTCTGATTAGCCTCTAGCCAAATGAGCCTACCTTGAATTAATTCCTTTGATAGCCCCTTTGAGCCTATGTCTCCCTTTATTTCTTTTGAAGCTCATTAAAAGCCTTAAGTGAAAAATCATGATTACCTTAACCTTAGGAATTTTTGGAGCTTTGGAATTGTTTTGGGAATAAGTTATTGAATAAGTGTGAGGGTGCATTTTGTATTTCATTGGATGATGTACTGGCTAGTTGGTTATCTCTGCTGTACAGTTTTTGTGTTTTCCTTTCAGTATATTTCATGTAGTTTAAAAAAAAAAAGATATTTAAAAAAAAAGAGAAAAAAAAAAGAAAGGAAAGTTGTGGTTGAGGTAAAGGCAGTAGTGGAGGTTTGATATTAGAGGTTTTTGGGCATGCATCTTGTGCTTATTTTTGACTTATTCCCCATTGCTCCTCTAGTTCCTCTGGTTCACAGCTACTTATCCCATATGATATCCTCTACCTTGTCCCTACCCCCATTACAACCTGAAAAGACCTTTTGATCTTTTTGTGCATGTGCGTTGGGTGTTGAGTTTAGAGGCTTGCCAAGTCTATCTGTTGTTTGCTTTTCTTAAGTATTTTGAGAGTATACAGTAGCCTAGACACATGAGAGATATAGCGCATCTTGTGAGGTTTTGTCAGTTTGATTCACCTTTTGACCTGATTGACCTCTTGCCAGGTTTTGAAATGCTTGGATGATTTCCATGAGTATCTGGTTTCTTTGACTCTTTGTGTGTTGGATGTTGTCTACTCCTTTCTTTTCCCAGGATTCATTAAGGATTGTGTAAATTTGTTTGTGTTTTGTGTGTCTTCTTGTTCTTGCTCCTTTTTGTTATGTCACTCTCTTCGATGTCTTTGGAATTGCTCCTTGCTTTGCTTCTTGATTTTGCCCGGGAGTGCAAAAGGCTAAGTGTGGGGGAATTTGATGAGCCATTATTTTCCCGCATTTTCTTATCTTTATGTACTTATCTTAATTGGTGCATTGTGTTTAATTATCTATTATTAGTGCATTTTTATTAATTGGGCTTCATTGGGCCAATAATTCAAATTTTAATTAATTTGGATCTATTTGATCTAATTTTTGCTCATTATTATTTTCAGGACAGTTTAAAGCAATTTTGGACTTGGAAGATTGGGTCAGATGTCATGCCAACTGTCCATTAGAATCAGTTTTATTGTTTTAAATTTTTTATGTGTTTTGTGGGCTAGTTGAACCCAAACCTAAATTAAGATTAAGGTTAGGGTTATCTATATCAAGGAGAGGCAGCCAGACATCAAAGACACCAAGGAAAAACGCGAAGCCGCATCGTGCAACTGACCTTTTCCCAGTGAGAAGGACATATCTAGAGCTACGAAACTCCAAATTCGGCGATTCAAAGTGCGTTGTAAAGCTAAGAGGCAAGGCTACAATTGTCTCTCTCATGAGAATTGTTAAATTCCAATCATAAGGTGGATAAAATTGAAGTCTAAAATTCACTATGGAATCTGCCTTGCATATGTCTCTTCTTTTGTGTTTTCGATTTTCTATGGATAGCTAAATCTTTATATTGATTTTCCGAGGAGAATGCAGTAGATCTTTGAGGTTTTGTTCTTCTATTTTGTTTGTTCTCTTAACTCTTCATCTCTAATCTCAGTGTTGAATTATAATATGTTTATGCTTAATAAACCGAAACTAACATCACAGTTTGCTTAATTTTATGTTAGAGATGAGATTATGTGATGTATGCAATGCTTAATTGTATAAGGATAATTTGGGATTAATCTTCGCTTAGTTGATTAATTTCATATTGGAACAAGGGTTAAAGCTAATTTGAGATTAATCTTCGCTTAGTTGATTAATTTCGAATTAAAATATAATTTGGGATTTATCTTCGCTTAGTTGGTTAATTTCGAATTAATTTCGTAATCTAGGATAAGTGACACTGCATTAGAATCAGGAAATCAATTGCATTTTAATCTTCTTTTAATCCACATTTTTATAATCTGCTTTTGTTCTGTTTCATCTAATATTTTAATTTTGAAAAACTCCCCCTTTTTTTGTTACTGTTCTAATTTTAAAAATTGATAAGCTTTGATAGAAATTTGTGGTCTTTGGGAGACGACCTAGGAAAACTTCCTAGTACTACATTTATCTGTTTTAATTATTTGATCGAGTACGACATCGATCAACTTCCTAGGGTCAAAAGAGTACTGGAATTGCTGAAATTTCATAACATGCAGATGGGGTTGTTTTATCAGATAATGTGGGAAAGCTCGTAGGAGTTGAAATTAAAGGATTTGAAGGTGAAAAATTACTTGTTTCAATCTATTGATACAAGTGTGTTTGAAATAATCTTAAACAAGGCAACAAATTTGAGGTTCAATCTTAAAGAAGGCAACGTTGAAGGAGATCTGAGATTTATTGAAACAAAAATATCAAGACACTGCGAGGGTGAAGCGAGCTCAACTACAAGCTCTACGATGAGATGGGAGATTCTATAGATAAAGAATGGTGAATATACTTTGCTCGGACTATCATAATTGCAAACAAAATAAGAATGCAAGGTGAGTAGGTATCTGACATTATTATTGAAGAAATTCTTCGTTCAATGACTTTGAGGTACAATTATGTAGTATGTTTCATTGAGGAATATCATGATTCCATGACTATAGATAAACTCCAGATTCCATAACTATAGATGAACTCCAAAATAGTTTATTAGTGCATGAGCAGATAATGAATGAGCACAATTTTTATGAAGAGCAAGGATTGAAGGTTTCACACGAAGGGACAAGTCTGGTAATAGAAGGGAAGAAGTGTTTTTCTTCAAGAAGCATATGCAAGAGGAAGAAGAGGGAGAAGAGGTAGATAATTTATTAATAAGGCAAGTGCTACTACTGCCATGAGTTCGGACACTTCCAATATGAATGTCCAAAAAGTCTCGAGATAGCAGAGCAAATTATGTTGAAGGTGGTGAAAAAGCCGTGTTACTCATGTCACAACTCCCAACAGATGAAGTCTCGGGATAGTAGAGCAAATGATGTTGAAGGTGGTGAAAAAATCGTGTTACTCATGGCACACATCCCAACCGATGAAGCCTCAGGATAGTAGAGCAAATTATGTTGAAGGTAGTGAAAAAGTCGTGTTACTCATGGCACAACTCCCAAGAGATGAAGCCTCGGGATAACATCACAAATTATGCTGAAGGTGGTGAAAAATTTGTTACTCATGGCACAACTCCCAAGAGATGAAGCCTCGGGATAGCATAGCAAATTATGTTGAAGGTGGTGAAAAAGCTATGTTACTCATGGCACAACTCCCACAGATGAAGCTTTGGGATAGTAGAGTAAATTATGCTGAAGGTGGTGAAAAAGTCGTGTTACTTATGACACAACTCCAACCGATGAAGCCTCGAGATAGCAAAGTAAATTATGCTGAAGGTGGTGAAAAAGTCGTGTCATGGCACAACTCCAGCAGATGAAGCCTCGGGATAGCAGAGTAAATTATGCTAAATGTGGTGAAAAAGTCGTGTTACTCATGGCACAACTCCCAATAGATGAAGCATCGGGATAATAGAGCAAATTATGCTGAAAGTGGTGAAGAAGTCGTGTTACTCATGACACAACTCCCAATAGATGAAAATTCGGGATAACTGAGTAAATTATTCTGAAGGTGGTGAAAAAGCTATGTTACTCATGGCACAACACCCAATAGATGAAGCCTCGGGATAGTAGAGTAAATTATGCTAAAGGTGGTGAAAAATCCGTGTTACTCATGGACCAACTCCTAAGAGATGAAGCCTCGGGATAGCAGAGTAAATTATGTTGAAGGTGGTGAAAAAGTTGTGTTACTCATGGCACAACTCCCAACTGATGAAGCCTCGGGATAGTAGAGTAAATTATGCTAAAGGTGTTGAAAAAGCCGTGTTACTCATGGACCAACTCCCAAGAGATGAAGTCTCAGGATAGCTGAGTAAATTATTCTGAAGGTTGTGAAAAAGCTGTGTTACTCATGGCACAACTCCCAACAGATGAAGTCTCGGGATAGTAGAGTAAATTATGCTGAAGGTGGTGAAAAAGCCGTGTTACTCATGGACCAACTCCCAAGAGATGAAGCCTCGGGATAGGAGAGTAAATTATGCTGAAGGTGGTGAAAAAGTCATGTTACTCATGACACAACTCCCAAGAGATGAAGTCTCGGGATAGCAGAGCAAATTATGCTGAAGGTGGTGAAAAAACTGTGTTACTCATGGCACAAGTCCAACAAATGAAGCCTCGAGATAGCAGAGTAAATTATGCTGAAGGTGATGAAAAAGCCGTGTTACTCATGACACAACTCCCAACATATGAAGCCTTAGGATAGTAGAGCAAATTACGCTGAAGGTGGTGAAGAAGCCGTGTTACTCATGGCATAACTCCCAACAAATGAAGCCTCGAAATAGTAGAGCAAATTATGCTAAAGGTGGTGAAGAAGCAGTGTTACTCATGGCACAACTCCCAATAGATGAAGCCTCATGATAACAGAGCAAATTATGCTGAAAGTGGTGAAGAAGTCATGTTACTCATAGCACAACTCCCAAGAGATGAAGCCTCGGGATAGCAAAGTAAATTAGGCTGAAGGTGGTGAAAAAGCCGTGTTACCCATGGCACAACTCGCAACAGATGAAGCCTCGGAATAGCAGAGCAAATTATGTTAAAGGTGGTGAAGAAGTCGTGTTTCCCATGGCATAACTCCCAATAGATGAAGCCTTGATATGAATCTTAATTACACAAGGGCTAATTTAGGATCTTTAGGGTTAGAACCTTGTAAGGAATTAGAAAGAAGGTGGAAGGAAAGAATCACTCTTCCCAAGGGAGGCAGCACACAAAGGATGTGAAAATCCTTTGATACAGCTAAGGGTTCTTGAATCACTCAAGAATTTAGGAGAATAACTTTCACTAAGATAAAAGAGATAAACTCTAATATTTCTGAATAAAATTTCACTTGTTATTTCTTGATAAAAATAGTTCAGCTGATATAGAAGCGTTGCCATCAGAATTACAAAGACTCAATAAAAGAAAATAAATACTAATAATAACCCATTAATCTAGGAATTGAGAAAACAAATAAAGGCTAATAATGATCCATTAACCTAGGAATTGAAACTACTTAATGACTGATTGTATCTGAAACTGTGGCAACCAAAAGTCAATCAGCTATGCACCCCTTGGTCTCCCAAAGGCTGATGACTAAATTTTCAATTGGGCCCTTATTACAACTTAAAACAAAATCAAACTAAAGTTCATTAATTGATTAATTCAAAACATAATTTGGTTAACCAATAATACTTGTTGATGAGCTTCATTTGCTTCCCTTGCTCTAACCCTTGTCATAGGTCATATCCACATCAAGCCTCAAGATAATAAAGCAAATTATGCTGAAGGTGGTAAAGAAGCCGTATTACTCATGACTCAACTCTCAACAGATGAAGCCTTAGGATAGCATAGCAAATTATATTGAAGGTGGGGAAGAAGCCGTGTTATTCATGGCACAACTTTCAACAGATGAAGTCTCGGGATAACAGAGCAAATTATGTTGAAGGTGGTGAAGAAACCATGTTATTTTATGGATTATATTTTTCTGATAAGGTGAAGTTGGGGAATAATTATTCTTTAAAGGTGATAGGGAAGGATGCGATTAAATTGCTAATTAATAAAGTTATGCATGTGGTTACGGATGTATTTTATCTTCCTGAGTTAAAGAATAATTTATTTAGTGTGGGTCAATTTTTCGAAAAAGGAGAAAGGATTGAAATGAGAGAAAATAAGTGTGAAGTGTTTCAAGGAGAGGGTGTGATATTTAAAACGTCTATGACTACTAACTGCATGTTTGCTATCTCTGTAAAATCTGGAGTTTCTTACAATTACTTTGAATTAAGTTAAACACCAACAATAGCTCAAGTCTAGCACTCTCATTATGGTCACGTGAGTTATAATGGATTGGAAACCTTGGTAAAGCATGATATGGTGAAAGGGGTGCCTACCTTAAAGTCCTCAACTCAACTATGTGAACATGGTCTCAAAGGGAAGCATCAAAGAGATCCTTTTCATGTCAAAGCAATTGGTGTGCATCTCAAGTGTTGCAACTAGTCCATTCTGATATATGTGGCCCCATCAATCCTACATCTAATGGGAATAAAAGATACATCTCACTTTCACTAATTATTTTAATAGGAAAATATGAGTATATTTCCTTTGTGAGGAAAATGAAGTATTTGAGACCTTTAAAATTTTTTAAGCATTAGTAGAAAAACAAGCTAATACCTTTATTCAAATTTCACGTACTGATAGGGGAGAATACACCTCTAGGGACTTTGTTGATTTTTGTAAAGAGCAGGGTATTCAAAGACAACATGGGTTTGTTAATTTTTGTAAAGAGCATGGTATTCAAAGACAACATGGAGCATATTTAAGTCATCTGTTTCTTACTTCAGAATTTTTAGTTGCATTGGATTTGTTCATATACCTGAGCAAGAAAGGAACAAACTGATGAATAAAGTATTTGTTGGTGGGAAAAATCGATATATGGATCAACAAGCGGATGGAAGGAAATCGATGAACGTATGTTAGTTGAAAAATTGATAAATCGAAAAGATGGTTGGAAGACATTCGATGACCATGTATTAGTATGAAAACATCGATCAAGAATTGAAATTGAGAATTGGAATCGAGAATCGAAAGAAGAAGATTCGATGGATATTGCTGAAGAAAATCGAGAATGAGAATCGAGAATCGAAAGAAGAGGATTCAATGGCTATTGCTGAAGAAAATCGAGAATTGGAATCGAGAATCGAAAGAAGAAGATTCGATGACTATTGCTGAAGAAAATCGAGAATGGGAATCAAGAATCGAAAGAATAAGATTCGATGGCTATTGCTGAAGAAAACCAAGAATTGGAATCGAGAATCAGAATCGAGATCGAGGGAACGGTTAACGCGCACATGGAACATGGGAAGCGGTTTTCTAAATCGTGGCTAAGTTGGAAATCGAAGAATGGCTAACGTGCACATGGAACATGGGAAGCGGTTTTCTAAACCATGGGTAAGGTAGAAATCGAGGCAGTTAGCGTGCACATGGGGTAGCAGTTTTTGAACCGTGGCTAAGATCGAAGATTGAGAGAGCAGTTGTCTCATGCATGGAATGTGGTAGCAATTTTTAAACTGCTCTTAGGAGGTTACCTAAAAGACACTCTATAAATAGAGTGAAGTTTGAAGGAAAAGGGGAAATTGGCAGAGACAACAGAAACACAAGTGAAAAGTCTACAAGAGAACGACGAATCATGAAATTTATGGCGCTCTGGATTTCCATTTTCATTAATTATCTTTATCGCGTTCTTTACTTTCTCTGGTAATTTATTTTCATGTAATTTACTTTCATGCAATTTACGTTTATCAACTTTAAGTTTTAGTCCTTTCAATTCCTTGTCATTTACCTTTATGTAAGTTAAGATTCTGAAAGAATTAATGGTTAAGTTCAAGAGGGGGGGTGAATTGAACTTTATAAAACTTTTTCGCAAAACTTACTTTCTCTTGGAAGAATGAATTATCTTTATTTAATTCTTGTGTAGATAGGTTGATTTTAATTACAGCAAGTATATAGACAAGAAATAAAGGAGATGAAAGAAGAAATTCAACACAACAATTTATACTGGTTCACTCTATACCAGAGCTACATCCAGTTCTTGACAAATCTGCCAAGTTCCACTAATACCAAGTGAAAATTACAACCAGTAGATACTCACCAATCTACCCCAAGAACTATCTTACAAACCCACAAGATAGACTCTTGAAAACCTCCCGAGTAACCAAATCCGATTCTTGTAACAAGTGCAGATCCAAATTCCAACCTGCACAAACACACTTTACAAAAGAGTATGAAAAGAAAAAACACTGGATCTGCAGCTCTATCGAGTAAAATTGTCCAGAACGGATTCTAACACAACACTTTCTCTCTTTGATTGACCACAATTTTGATCAAAGCACCTTATGATATAACAAAGTTCTTGAATGCAGAGAAAGTCACGGATATGAAAGCTTCACAGATTGATTTCAAATGTTTTCTCAAGTTGTTTTTTCTCAAAAGATAGATCAAATCTGTATTTATAAAGTAAAACAGAGAACCAGAACGTTTCATTAATTAAAAACAGATTCAAAGATGCAACTTATCGATCAGAATGAAAATATAACAAGTTAGAATCGATTATGATCGATTAGAAAAGTATTATGATCGATTAGAACAAGTTATGATCGATCAGAATGAAATTATGATCGATCAGAATACATTTCAATCGATTAAAACGACGATTCAATCGATTGATTTCATTAAAACTTCATTCAATCGATTGATTCGAGTTTTTAATGGATTGAAACAGCTTTATGAAAAATGATAGCTCTCTGTTTCAATAGATTGAAAATCATTTCAACAGATTGAAATCCTGCAGACTCTTAGATAGAAAAATAGTCTTTCTGTTTCAATAGATTAAAAAACATTTCAACAGATTGAAAATACGAAACCTTGATATTGAAAAATTCATTAAGTCATTTTAACCTGTTTATTCTACGATTCAATCAATTGCAATTTCGACTATGTATGACCACTTATTATGTTAAGTGATTTTAACAGATTGAAAAACATTTTCAACAGATTGAAAAACTTAGTTTGTTCTTTTAATGCTTAAATGTTAGTTTTTCATGTAGAAAAATGATTTCACTGAGATGCATCATATTAAGGCGCTTATCACAAGATTTATTGGCCTATCAAGAGATTAAGTTCTAAACTTCTAACCTATTCATCTACACACCCACAAACTAAACTATATCAACTCAATATTATGTCTTCATCAAATCCACCAAGTGCTTCAGATTCTGCGTTTAAGTTTCTCGCCATTTACACTTCTGCAATTTCGATTTCCTGTTATTTACACTTTTGCAATTTCGATTTCCTGCTATTTAAATTTTTGCAATTTCAATTCATTGGCATTTACACTTAATGCAATTTTAGGGTTCCGCATTTACATTTCTCTGTAATTTAATATTCTGCATTGCTTTTCGTCTCGATACCTTTTTACTGCTTTCTTTATTTCAAGTTTCTTAATAAAAAATACCAAAAATAGTACTTTCGATTTCGATATACATGCTTTATCACACTTTCCATGTTTTTAATATATGTGCATGCTTTATCTTTCATCCAGCTCGATACTGTGACATTTTCGATTTTCATACATGTTTTGATTGAAAACCTTTTGCTAGCCTAAGTAAAAAGAATCTACGTGGTTGAAATTTGGTTAGAACATAAGTCTTTGAGAAATCGAAATCGACCAAATTTTCACCAGAAACAGTATTAAATGTGTGTTGTTGGATATAAGTAAGGAGTCTAAAGTGTACAAACTATATGATACTATTAATAAGAAGATTCATATCAGCAGAGATGTCAATTTTCAAGAGGATTCTGCTTGGGACTAGAGTGAAGCAGAAATCAGT